AAATTAATCATATCACAATATCCATTAGGTACTTATAACGCATTATAAATCAACAACAAACTCTGACACTATCATAGATATATAATAGTGTACTGTAGAAGTTTCAAGTACCCACGAATAATATTATACAAACACGACAAAATAACTAGGTTTTTTAATATGTAATTTCGTCCAAATTTGAACATAAAATGACTATAAAAATAAACTGTGATTGTATATTTTTTAGATTTTTCGGTAAGAGCATTAACTACTTACGTGGAATCTTGTTTTAAATTTTCAATCCTTAGCTATAAAAACTGAACATTTTATAATTTATTAATTACGATGATTAATCATTTTCGAGATTTTGAAAAATTCTGTCAAAATTCGATGTTTAAATGCTTATAAAAAAAAATTGTGCCTATGTATTTTTAATATTTTTCAATAGCTATTGTAACAATATATCATTATTATATTGGTTTATAAACCATTATAATAAATACCTGATTCATTTAATAATACTAAATTCGTCAATCGATTCAGTTACCTAGTAATTTGTTTGTATTGATAACCATTGTGTAAAACTAAATTATTGCCTTAGTTGTTTCTAAGATTTCATTATAATTTATTTTAAATTTGAATTTTTAAATTATTAACACTGTAGCAACAAACCTAACGGCTGACTCTACAAAGATGTAATGTGTTTAATGTGTATACTATACTAAATATTGAGCAAACGTTATCAATAAATGATCAACATAATTTAAATAATAAAACTTTGAACACAACACAGTATAAATAGTAATACAGTATAAATATAATACTTCCAACACATATAAATAAATATATTATATTAAAGTTATAAATAATGATTCATTGATCCCCACAAACAAAACAAATATCAAAAAATTAAAACAAATTGTTATCATATCCAATAATAATACGCTTTTAATCTCTCCAGTAAAAGACAACAGGTTTTTATAGTAAATATATTATAGTATAATATATTATTATAATCTAATATATTATATACAACCTACAATTTTATATTCAGGCAGATAAAAATAAAATGATCTCAAACAGCACGAAAAATGTTCCGACCGCATTGACGCCCGAAATACTTTTATTTTTCAATAGATGAAGTAGAATTAAGTATCGGATATTTTGTGTGACAAGGGCCAAGATAATTTCGTTAAGATTAAAAGATTTTATAAGGGATTCGTGAGGCCGTTAATTTTATATAGATCGGAATGTCGGACAGTAACACAATATAATTGAAGTTCTCTTCAGTAAAGAGAATGCGAAGGACGAGTAATTAGGGAGGAAAGAATAAAAAATAATACATTAGAGGAAACATGGCTTGCGTGGCATCAATTTTAGACAAAATTATAGAAGACAGATTGAGTTGCTCGGTTATATTATGAGGAGACATGACTAGAAGGCAATAAGGGCTTCAGTGTGTTAATGAAAATTAATTCACAATTAATAAGACAGTATAAAAAATAACTAGAGAATAGCTAGTGTCAGTTAAGTTCGCAGATGGCAAACTCTATATAGCTTAGAGTGAAGGGAGAAAAAAAACAAGCGAGAAAAGGATGCCAAATTTACAAAAAATATTTCAATCATATTAATATGTTTATTTAATGTATTTATAAAAAACGAACATAAACTAAAATTATCAAAAGTATGTTTTTATAACTTCATACTTATAGTTACTTATAGTTATATACATATGGTATTATGTATTATTTTTACTGGATCTTAGTAATAGCTACAAGCAGTCTTAACATCGAAATATTCCTCCAAATTGAACAATCAAACAATCTGATTCAACAATTATATTTACCATAATATAATAGCAGTGCAATAGGTCCAATTTCAGGAAATGTGAATTCCCCAACCAAAAAAATTGGTTAGATTAAATAGGTTTATAAAAATATTTGTTTAATTTACAATTGTATATTACTTTTAGGATGTGAAGGTAAGATAACCGATGTTGTATAAAAATTTTTAACTTTTAAGCTTATCAGTTGTGATAGGAAAGTTATATTTAAAAATTATATAGCTTAAGTTCTAGATTTGTGGATGTACATGAAGTTGGCCCCCCACTTTGTCCAAATGACTTCAAAAAACCACCAAATAATTGAAAATTAATTGCAAATAATTGCAAATCGAGTTTCATTAATTGCAAATCACCCAGTTTTGAGTAACTCAAATTCAAAATTTGGGGGCCAACTTCATGTAGCCCCCCTCCCCCCACTTTGTCCGATTCGTTTCAAAATACCGTCAAATAATTGCAAATTATTAGTTTTTAAATTTTGTATTATTTTTAAGTATGAACTATTTATGAGAACCTTTGTTTTAAATTTAGTAATCCTTATAGCTATAAAAACTGAACATTTTATAATTTATTAATTACAATAATTGATAATTTTCTATTAATTTTGTCAAAATTCGATCTTTAAATGCTTATGAAAAAAATTGTGCCTATGTATTTTTAATATTTTTTAATTGCTATTGTAACAATATATCAGGAGCCCTGTATTAAATTTGTACACTTTTTGGCCCAACAGATAAAACTTAATTGATATTTATAGAAAAAAAACTAAAAAAATTGAAAGCTGTAAATGTCCTTAAACAGCTCAAAAAGAGTCAAAATATTTTCAAAATTGTATGGTGTATAGGAAATTCTAAAATAAACATTCAGTGAAATTTTCATGTATCTACAGTTATTCGTTTTTGAATTACAACAAAATAAGGAAATCGCTACATGAGAAATCGAGTGAATATCCAATGTTGTAAACATTTGAATTTAAAACGTTCATGAAAATTTATTTGACTTTCTTATAGAATTTTTTTTTTTGATAAAGGTAGACAAACTTATGAGAAATCATGTATTACATTTTAAAAGCTTGGATTTTAAAAGAACATTTTTACCAATTTTTAACTCAAAATAATTTGCTAATTTTCGTGATTTTTCCATATTTTGTCAATTTATGAACTTTAAATGGTTATAAAAAAAAAATTGTGACTAAGGATTTTGAATATTTGTCATCTGCCTTTGAAATAATAAACTAGGAGCCTTCTTTTAAATTTTCAAGCTTTCGCAACCAACAAATAAAATTTTATTGATATTTTTAGAAAAAAAACTAAAAACAAATGGAAAATTAAGATGTCCCTAAACAGTTCAAAATAAATCAAAATGTTTTGAAAATGTTATCGTATATTGAAAATGCAAATATAAACAACAAGTGAAAATTTCATGTATATACGTTCATTTGTAGAGTTACACCAAAAACCAAAAAATTCGTAAAAATTCCCGTTTTTCCTTAATTTTTGACCACCCAAAGGTACCAATTATCTTCACTTTCCCATCGAACAAGTTACTAAAGTTGAAAATCGAAGCATTATTTCGAATACTAATCGTGTACACAGACACAAAAAAAAATAAATAAATAAATAAAAAAAAACACATATCATTGTAAAATCAATACATTCATCGTTCCACTCAGAATCTAAAATAATAAGAAAAATTGATTAATGAAAATTATGAAAAAATTATAAGAAAAAAAAAGTTCGGTTATACATATTTATTTATAAGTAAATTTAGTAAAGAAATTATACTATTTGTGCGACGTTTTCAAGATTATTTATTATTTTATTTGTACGAATGTTGTTTGCAATTTATTAATTTACCTAATTATACAGCTAATAACTATTTAACTATTATATATCATAGAAAGAAACAACTTACGGTAATATTAAAAATGAACAGCAACTAATTGAATGGAAAATCTATGTGGTTAATCTGTGTGGTTACATACAGTGTTGAGAATAAATAACGAATACCTAAATCTAGATAAGATACAGATAATGTATATACATTTGTCTAGCTACAGATAAAGATAAATAAATTTGATATTTATCTAGATTGGATAAAGATTATCTAACTTTTATCTAGATAATATGGTAGGTAGAAAAAACTAGTTTGTATTATACTTAAATAACAAATATATTTATTTACCTACTTGAACATAAAGTAACTAATAGTTAATAGGTGCATACAGTAATTTAATAATATTATGTACTAATTGAATAGTGTTCTGATAGAGCAATTTCAGTAAAAAAAATATTAATATGATTTAAATAAAATGTATCTAGGTAAGTAAATATGTCTTCTAAGATAACAAATATATAGATCGGACAAAGTATGGTTGGGGCTGTTTAAAAAATTTGCAATTAGCCAAACTCGATTTGCAATTAGTTGCTATTAATTTGCAATTATTTGGCGGTATTTTGAAACGAATCGGACAAAGTGGGGGGGGGGCAACTTCATGTACATGATTTGTGGTTTTAAAACTGTTATTTAAACTGTATAATTGTACTATGTATTAAATAGTGTATCAATAAGATACTACAAAAATAACATTATTTTGAAGAAAATTGATTATAAATGTTTTTAGGCATGCATTTACATTGTTTAAATTATTATTAATTTATCTTTATATAATTGTATAGTCGTGGTTAATTGGGTTACCGGTATTTTGCCCGAATCAAAATTCCCGAATGAACTTTTTCCCGAATGGTATTTTACCCGAAAATCCGAAAACCCGAAACCTTTTTTCCCGAACACCTTTTTCCCGAATCAAAATTCCCGAATGAACTTTTTCCCGAATGGTATTTTACCCGAAAATCCGAAAACCCGAAACCTTTTTTCCCGAATATAAATTATAATACATATAAAAATAAAAATAAATTAATACAAGTAATAATAATATAATAAATTATGTAATGTACCTAATGTTAAATATTTCAAAGTCGATAAATAATAAAACGTATAAAATATAAAAATTAATTGGTAAAATTAATAATAATATAATAAATCATGTAGTGTAATAAAATATTTTTAAATAATTAAATTATAATACGTATGAAATATAAAAATTAATTAATTTAAGTAATACTGTAGTGATACATATAAATTGACCAATAATAAAAAAAAAACAAAATACAAAATAATTTCATAAAACAATATTATGCGCGATTGCCTTCAGAAAATCTAATTCTTGGTATGTATTAAAGTCAGCAGTAATGGCCATAATTCGCATCTGAAAGTCTCGCCATTTTCTTTTTGGCTGAGCTCTTACTTTTCGCCCTAGACTCAGCTCTGAGATCATTATCTCTACATCACCTTGTTCTTTTTGGAACTCGCCGAGAGCTGAGTAAAGGTCAGGATGATGTTTTCCAACGACAAGCTGGAAGCGATTGTGCCACCCCTCGCTTACGTTGTTGGTCTTATGCGAACCAGTTAGAGCTGCTTGGTATTGATTCCAAATTTTTGGCGGATAACGTGGATGAATCCCTCGTCTTCTTCCTCGAGCTATTACTCCAAGAACATAATTTTTTTCGAAATATTCAATTATTGGTGATAAAGCTTCAGGCGCATCATTTTTCAAAAGAGAAAAAATGCGAGAAACTTCAGTCAACGGCACAAATGCCAATGCTAGCATCATGTGTGTAAAATATTTCAACGAACGATCGTCGGGGTCATTATATGCGGCTTGAAGACCAGCAAACTGAATTTGACGGTACATTGATTGGCCGAAATGAAAAAAGCAACAACTGATAGCCGAATTTGGAAAAACTTCTTCACATGCATTGATTATTGATTTTTCAAAATCTGTCATGATCTTAACCGGTTCACAAAAAATTCTATGTTCGTTAAACGATGATTGTACTGCTCTAAGCACAGTGGCATACTGCACAGTTTCTTTCGACGACAACAGCGCATAAACAAATGGTACAGCAACTGTGTCATGAACATCGACATGTTGTTTACATGTTCCCAAAATCGTAAAAACTTGGGTGAAAATATTGGGACACACCTAAGTATTAGGTAAAGGATTAGTAATAGAAATTGTTTTATTATTATTAACTAAGTTAAATGACTCGTTATACTTTTTTAAAACTTTAATTAAAATTAAAATATTTTTGTATTAATACGCCAATAGTATACATATATCTAAGCTTTATAGTAATAATGGTACGTTTTTCCGTTTTATTATCGTTGTATGGATAGTGGGGCGATAACAAATCAGTACCATTTTTCTTATATTAGCTTAATTTAACGAGTTAAAAAAACTTTAACTTCTTAGAAAATTTGAGAGATAAAACTAACCTTAAAAGTCCCGTCTAAAAACCAGCAGTCACTCTCGGCCAATAGCTCTAAATTTCTTCGAGTTGAAAACACAACAACTCTACCTTCACTGACAGAATTACCATCGAGCGAATCATAAATCAAAAATTTTTCACCCGTAAGTGTCTTTTGATATTGATCGGGAAAAGTACCCAAGTCAAAAAGTGTTTTCGGATTAGGCGGTAAATTTTTCCTTATATGCAAAACAGATAAAATTAGAATAGATTCATAAAAAAGTGGAAAAAATTAATACCTCCGGACTTGACGCATTGACTTCTTTAAATTATCTCGGTTAGGTAATTGACTGAGAACGCCATCAGATACTCCGGCCATCTCTGTACGTAGAATTTGAGTGGGTGGTAGTTGTGGTTGGTTTTCAGCCTTCCGCTTCAAAGAATACTTAACAATTTCCGATTGACACTGTTCTTGATTGGGAATATGATCATGATCGTCCAACGCTGGTTCTCGGACGAAATTATGCTTATTTTCGGAAATATTGAAGGTAGTGATAATTCTGGCTTTGCACTCTTTCCTTCGTACTTTTTGGCATTCCCAGTATGTTTTGCCGTTGACTGGTAATTTTGACCGCAAGTATATAAAACCACCATAAACTAACTTTGTTTCACCCAAAATTTTAATTTCAGCCATGATGGTGAAGTAAAATAAAATTAAAAAAAGCTTATACAATATAACGCACTGAAAATGAAAATGAGAGTATTACGACAACTAATAGTACGCGAATGATAAAGCGCGTGACAAGCGCGCGATGATTTAGATTATAGGTGTACACTACAAATCAATTAAATGTTCGTGTGGCAATGACAGTAATAGTATATATATATATATATATATATATATATATTATACACAATACACAGATTGCGATAAAGGTAAAATACCCGTACTGTTTCGTAAATACTATCTTTATCTTATATAGGTATAAAATATAATACATAGAAAATACGACAATTTTTATTTCGGGAACAATAACCGTCGGGAAAAAGGTGTTCGGGAAAAAAGGTTTCGGGTTTTTGGATTTTCGGGCAAAATACCATTCGGGAAAAAGTTCATTCGGGAATTTCGATTCGGGAAAAACGGCGGGTACCATCATAGATATATTATCGTGTACTTTAGAAGTTTCAAGTACCAACGAATAATATTATACCATCACAACGAAATAACTAAAATAGTTATTCTAGGTTTTAGATTCTGAGTGAAACGATGAATGTATTTTATTATGTAATTTCGTCTAAATTTGAACTTAAAATGACAATGAACTGTGATTATGTATTTTTTTAGATTTTTTGGTAACAGATATAACTACTTACGTGGAATCTTGTTTTAAATTTTCAATCCTTAGATATAAAAGTTGAACATTTTATAAATTTTTAACTACAAAATAATTATTCAATTTTAAATTTGATAAATTTTGTCAAAATTCGATCCTTAAATGCTTATATAAAAAAAATTGGACCTTTGTATTTTTAATATTTTTCAATTGCTATTGTAACAATATATCAGGAGCCTTGTATTCAATTTTTACACTTTGTGGCCCAACAGATATAACTTTATTAATATTCATAGAAAAAAAAACTAAAAAAATTGAAAAATGAAAATATCCGTAAACAGCTCAAAAAGAGTCAAAATATTTTCAAAATAGTATGGTGTATAGGAAATGCTAATATAAACATTCAGTGAAATTTTCATGTATCTATAGTTATTCGTTTTTGAATTACAACAAAATAAGGAAATCGAGTGTTGTAAAAATTTGAATTTCAAACGCTCTTAAAAATTTAATTAGACTTTCTTATAGAATTTTTTTTTTGATACAGGTAGATAATCTTATAAGGAAACTGGTATTACATTTTAAAATCTTAGATTTAAAAAGAAAAGTTTTACAAATTCTTAACCCAAAATAGTTTGCTAATTTTCATGATTTTTCTATATTTTGTCAATTTTTGAAAATTAAATGCTTATAAAAAAAAACTGTGACTAAGGATTTTTAATATTTTTCAAAAGTCATTGTAACAATAAAGTAGGGGCCTTGTATTACATATCCAAGCTATTTTAACCAACAAATAAAATTGAATTGATATTTTTAGAAAAAAAACTAAAAAAAATGGAAAATGAAAATGTCCCTAAACAGTTAAAAAAGTTAAACAGTTAAAAAAAAAATAAAAAAAAAAATATAAAAACACACATCCTTGTAAAATCAATACATTCATCGTTCCACTCAGAATCTAAAAACTAATAAAATTGGAAACTGTAAATGTCAGTAAACAGTTCAAAATAAATCAAAATATTTTGAAAATGTTATCGTGTAGAAAATGCAAATATAAAAAACCAGTGAACATTTCATGTATCTACGATCATTTGGTTTAAAGTTACACCAAAAACAAATTTCAATTTTGTGAAAAATCGATTTTTGCGTATAAATTCCCGTTTTTCCTTAATATTTCTTTTGTTTTTCTTGGCGCTTTTGAAAATTACTGGGAATTTTATATTTTGACCTCCCCAATGCACCAACGATATTCACTTTCCAATCAAACAAGATAATGAAGTTGAAAATCGGTGGATTATTTCGACTACTTATAGTGTACACAGACACAAATAAAATAAAAAAACACATATCATTATAAAATCAATACATTCATCGTTCCACTCAGAATCTAAAATATGATATTGGAAATGAATATTACTACCTTAATGTAGGTCTTAATTGTACATTTTATATTAATTGTTGCTTTATATAATTATTTACTTTATCTTTGTTTAAAAATTCAATATTTAGATTCACGATGCATAATCTATTGTAAAACTATAACTCTTTACCTCTATAGGGTGATTAAATTTAAAATAAATAAAATATTGAACAACCTTTATTATAAAAGTTCTATTATGTATATTTGTTATTTTTAAATTACTATTTGTTAATAAAAATCAAACCGTTTTATGCCAATATTAAATTTGTAAAATATTATTTTTTTTTAAATAGATATAATAACCACGAAATGTAAGTATATTTATTTATTTATTAATACGGACAAAAGTCCAATTCACAATATATTTGTATAGATAACAATAATATAATATAATGTAAAATAATAAAATAATCACATAATAAAAGATGAAAAGTTTAATACCTATATAGAATAATAGTAATAATAATAATAATAATAATAATACATTCAATGTTTATTAAAATAATTTAATATTTCCCGAAGATTTATGGGGTCGTATGACGTATACTTTTTATATGAATGAGGAATATAAAATAAATGTTTGTTGCGAGTGCAATGGTTTTTGACTTTAAAATTTAATTGACTTAATAAAAATGAATCATTAATCTCGTTATTCAACAATTTGGTGAGAAATGTGTTGTATGATAAGTGTCTATGAATATTTTAAGATTCTAAGTTTAACAATTTTAAAATATTGTCGTAACCAGAGTGAGGAGTTCATTGAATATTACATTTATGACATATAAATATGAGAGCATTATATTGAACTTTGTCAAGTTAATCATCATTATGTCCTACATTGTTTTGGTCAAAAATTAATGGAGCGTATTCTAATAAAGAACTGACTAGTGAGGTATATAGACATTTGAGAGCAAATGGATCACGAAAATCGGTTTCGAAAAAAAACAGTTTCTTTTTATCATAGGTACCAAATACCTACAGCTAAAGATTTATTTTTAATCGCTGATACATGAACATTGAATAATAGTTTGGAATCAAATAAAACCACTAAATCTTTTAACAATGACCTACGATGTAAGTTAATGTCACTATATGATAATTAAAATGCAAGGGATTGTGGTTTTTGGATAAGAAACAATTTGGAAATTGTCAATAGACAATATTTAATGAAATGCTACTTGAAATGCACCATTAGTTAAATTAATTAAATCACTTTGACGAAGCTTAATATCATCGGGGCAAGTAATAGATTTTTAAATTTTTGAATCGTCGGCAAATAATAAAATGTTGTAGTGTGCAATGGAGGATACAGCATAATTTATAAATAAATTAAATAGGAGAGGTTAAAGGTGATCGACTCCAGAAATTACGTTTATAGGTGTCGATATAAAATGTTTATATTTGACAAATTTGATTCTTTGACTTAGGAATGAGTTAAACCATGATAATAGGGGATTGGCAAAGCCGATTTCCTGTAATTTATTGATTAATAAAGCGTGGTTCACTCTATCAAAGGCTTTTTCAAAATCAGTATAAGCAACATCTGTTTGTTGATTATTATTTTTATAATAATATATATTAATATTATAAGCCTAACGAATACCTATTTGTTTCAAAATGTAGAGCTATTTATAGATATAAGACAATTTTCATAATTATTAGTTTATTTTGAACTATTGTCGATGGTAAATAATGAACACCGTTAACTACTTGTCCGCTTCTTGTATTGTTTAATTTTTTCTTCTTCATTACTAAAAAATCTGTCTGTCTAAACGATATCCATTATTTTGTATTAAATTTATGAGTGTTCATAATATGTGGGGGGTACCCGTTACATTCAGAAATTTCAATCGTCTCTCCTTTGAAAGTCTTCTTCTGTCTTCCTCTTCCTTTTCATCTAATGATTATTCCTACAATTATGTTGGTCATTAGAGGATTATGTTGTAAAATAATATCTTATTTTATTAGGTGTCTCTTAAGTTTAACACTCCTCGATATAATACTAGATAGTAGTGTTCTAATTTCCCATATTGGTTGGAAAATGTCTGCATTGATTTTCTTTTCAGTCCAGCTAATTTCTTCTCCAGAACCATATTTCCATTGCCTCTAACTATTTTTTTGTTCCAATGATACAACAGAATACTCCTTACATAACTTTTGGCAAAGTTTTCCCAGGTCTTTAGACTAAGATTATTGTTCGTGAGTAGTTGTCATTTCTGAGTAGGTATAGATTCTTTTTGAATTCGCTATTCGATATTTTATTTCTACTGAACATCTGATTTCATTGATTCATGTACCTACTCCTTAATATTTGTATTATTATACTTAATTCATTTTTGATAATCAAGTTGTTAACGATAGGTGCTCTGCTTTTTTTATTTACTACCATGGCTTCTGTTTTATTTTTTTTTGATTTTCATAAGTCATATATTTAAGATTTCATTAAATGTAGAAAGTGATTTGTTGTACATTAATAATATTTTATTTGTGTTAATGTCAATATTAAATTTGTAATATATTATTTATTTAAATAGTAGACATAGCTGGTCGTGGCAAGTATATTATTATTATTTATTATGTATAGGTATTTATAAATTATGTAAAAATCTTTTACAACTGAATCCAATAGTTATAATACTAAGAACTATCAGAAATTTGTAAGATGCTAACGTTGTAACTCATAAATTTCGTTTTCTAACACATATTGATGTTATACAATATTTTAAATATGAATGGGTCTACTAAGAGAATTAATATAAACCTGTATTATTTAAATTTTTAATTATTGTAAGAACACACACATAGGTACACACAATACGGTTAGTGTTAACAACTCAAAACTACCAAATGTACGAACTTTAAATTTGAAATAGTGGTTCCTCATATAATATTGATGTGCAATATGAATGGATTTTCCGAACAGAAAAAACCATAAATGGCTGAAAGTATATTATAATTAACATTATGAATGATAATTTTACTAAAAGAAAATCTTATACCCATAACTCAATAAAACCGCTATAATCAGCAGGCGATTTTCTCAGAAATGTTTAAGTACCTACCTAGCTAACATCGTAATACATACATTTAGTTTTCTCCCATATATTGTCGTTTTAGAATAATTAAAAATTAAAATGTTTTACTAAAGTTTTTTATATTATTTTATAATCTATTCATTTTTAATTATTAGTTATTAAACATTTATTTCTGTAAGTTTTAATCATAGGTACGACACAAACAATCCATCTATATTAGAATGCAATAGGTATACTCTATTCAGAATAGGAACAGCCTTGCGCGGCGACTAGTTTTCGTTTCGCGACGGTCGGACGTCGTCCCCACTACGAGCTACGGCGGCGTGTTATGGGCTGCCACGGAACAAATCCACGCCCATGAGCACAACTCGGCCGCCGAAGACAATCTTATTCTGTATAGAGTAAAGTTTTGAAGATCATTGTGATTCTATTAAATGTTCATAGAATCTAAAGTAAAATCTTGCGACAAATGCTTTAAGAAATCCGGGACAGAATATCAGTGATAAATTGAAACATTCATAATTATGTTGATGTAAATATTAAATTTGTCAAATATTATTCTTTATACAGGTACATTAAACCAAACATTTACAAGTATATTATTATAAACGTTAAAAACTTTTTATTTAAATATAAAATATTATATAACTTATTAAAATAGTTATTGCCAGGCATCAGACATTTTTAAGATACCTATATTAAAGTAACATAAACATTTTATTTTGGCAACATAATTTTATCACATTATGTAATTTATATAAACATTTGGAATTGAATCTACTGAGTTAACCTTTTATTCCATACTCTGTTATTTTTTAATTACCTATTAGTAATATTTAGGTATATAATATAAGTCTCAGCATACGCAGTAGTTCGTATTATAATTATAATTCTATTAAGTTAAAATGGAACCTGATATAGACTCTCAGAACACATTTTTTAAGTGACTTTCTCTCAAGTTTTACCCTAAAAATTATATTTTTGACAGTCACAATGTACCTAATTAAATTTGTATTGACATATAGTTTACAAATAAATGAATAACACAAAACTAATTACCTAGAAAGACATATTATATAGACTAGTGTAAATGACATCAAGTGTTTATATTTTTAAAGGTTCTTTGACTTCAAAATAATTTGCAAAGTTTTAGAGGTTTTGACAAAAGTCATTATGTAACCACTCATCAAAAATAATTTTGGAATTACGCTCAATTTTTTATAAAATTATTATGTTGTAATTATAAACTTTGTAAACGAATGGACAATTTTTTATCAACATTAAGAGAAAAAATAAATAAGAAATAGAAGTTTGTCTAACTTTTAAGTAACCAAACTAGACAATTATTTTATTGTAAATTCAAAATTTTAATATGAAAAATTAAAAATAACTTTTTCATTACATGATTACAAAACGTTCTAATATTTACGTTCCCAATGTAAGGCTGTATCCGAATTATGTTTAAGAGCTCACATTAATATTACTCAGACTCGACAATTCTAATTCTCGTGAATTTTAGTCTTTCGTAACTAATAGACGTAACATTTCTTCGATCCCCAATCAAGTATGGAACAGTTGCTCTTATGCCTGTTAAGTATTTTGAAATAATAACACCAATTTTCTTCCAATCATTTCATCTGTTTATTTCTATGGTAGTATTTATTTATTTACAATATGGTGGTGAGTACTCTAGCACGACAGAAAGGTTGGAAAGTGGGCTTCCGCGTTCGGTGTATTTTAACGATAGGCCAAGGGTACCGTCCTATTTACAATGTCAGGTATATAATTCGAGGGATTATACAGTTTAGGGAATGGGGTCAACCACAGATAGTGTCTTGCTGACAATAGCGATTGCTGGATTGCGAGTCCGATCCGGCTGGATGGCGAGTGGTGGCACTGGTGTACCCCTGGTACGTCGCCGATATCCTCGGGTATCTATAGTACGGTGGGCATCTGATAGATTCCACGGATGGTCTTTCGGTTGTCTTCTCACTCGGCTTGAATGTCATCGAGATCTGATGGCTGAACTAGAATGTTGACTCGTACAAACGAAATTTGTGGCGATTCCCGGACGGTTTCCTCACGAGTTAGTACGAAGAGTCTTGCTGTGCTATTACTTCTCGTTTCTGTCAGAGTTGATATCGCCGAATGTTGCTTGCAGCTTTTGGCGTTTTATTGCACTGTTGGTCCGCGTTTGTCTGCTCTGGTAGTCATTCTTTTCTTCTGGCCTTCGAGAGTTGTTTTGTTGTAACTGGAACGAAGAAACTGTGTTGAGAAGAAGGTTGAAGTAATTTTGTTTAATTTCATCGAGTACACCGGTAAATATACGAGTTGGGTGATAGAAACCAGTGCTGATTGGTCAAAACTTCTAAATTTGACGAGGAATCATCACACCATTTCTTGGTTGTTGAAACCTGTTCAGTCACTCGTCATTCTGTTGGAATTTATTTGTCGAAAACGCCCTATTTTGAATGTGTCTTTCTGGCACTACGTGTGTCACTCCTTTGTTATAAGGAGTTTATTAGTGCTCTTGATCGACCTTTTTGTAAATATGAATCGTAATATGATGTAACCGTTTTAAGTATATTTAAATGATTTTCCCACTTGTGGTCCTAAGATAGCAGATCTATTTTCTTTTTTTTCGCCTTCACTAATAAACCACAATCTTCTGCTCCAAGCCAAGCTCTAATATTAAAATCCAGCAGTTCTCCTTCTTGCCATCCCAATTATCTATCTCTTCTGAGGAAGTATCTACTGCTTTTAAAACACTATCTAATATCAATGTGTTGGGACCTGATGATTTTCCAGCTTCTTTACACTTCAAATGGCATACTTTACTACCCACTTCGCACTAGTTTTAACAAGTCTCTCACAAATGGGAATTTACCTTCGGTTTGGAATATTAGCAGTGTTAAGCCGTTCTTAAAATCGGTTGATCCTACTCTAATCACAAATTATAGACCTTTAGAAATTAATCTTCTTTTTATTGGTAAAGCGTTTGAACTTTTAGCTCTAACAAAAGATTAACGTGTACTTCACTCTATATTGTCAATGTATCAACATGGTTTTTTCCCTGGGTATTCTACAATGACCAATTATTTATATTTTTACTGTTTTATTGTTGATACTCTCAAAGATAGAAGTCAAGTTGATGCTATTTTTACTGAATTTTCGAAAGCGTTTGATTCTGTTGATCATACCTATCTTATATTCACACTGGATAGGTTAGGTCAGTGGTTCCCAACCTATGGGCCGGGGCCCAATTGTGGGCCACGAGCAGCGTGGGAAGTGAAAAATATAATATTAAATATTATATAAACTTAAAATAATATTACTATTTTATATTTTTATTATATTATATTAAGTTAACATTTTTATGCAATCATATAGTACAATATTTTGTTTATTAACATGAGAAGAAAATATTTAATATTCAAGTACTTTAAAATATTCACAGAATATTATCATTTCCCAAATGCTGTATGGGTAGTGCCATTCTAGTTAAATGTTCGGCAAGACTATTCCGAAATCGTTAAAAGTCTACTGATAAACTTGATAGGATTTCCTACAACTTATTTATGTCAAGTATCGACGTGATTTAATTTTTTATTTAAAAAATAAATATAGAAATAAACTGAATGTTGAGTGACTTAAGGCTAAAACTATCCATTTTTAAGCCAGATATTGACTCTTTTGGAGGACAAGATTTATTTACAAAATTATTGGTCCATACAATTAAAAATATTTTAAACAGCTCGGTTGGGCATTGGTTATCAACTTTTGTCACGGATTAACTCATAAATAGTGGATAGACGGCAACATGTTAGGTTGTTCAATACTTCATCAAATAAGTTCAAGGGTTCTTTTGGAGTTCCATAAAGTGGACTTTTAACACCATTTCTATTTAACCTTTTTCTTAATTCATTATTCAGGAATATCCCGCCTGTTCACCTACTTCTTTTTTCCAATGATGTGAAACTATTCTTCCGTATATTTTCCAACATTGATTGTGAAATCCTTCAGTCATCGTTTAATAGTTTTGTTATCTGGTGTCACGCTATTGGTCTTAAATTATTATACTTAAATTACTGTGGCGCGAGTAGGTTTAAGAATGTTACACAACTTACGCGGCCAACATAGGAAAGGTTCGAAATAAATAAACTCGGAGACGATTTTGAGCAGATGAATATTTATTTAAAATCGGACATGAAATTTATGCGTGCGACGAAGCCAGTGGCAAAGAGATGTCGGCGGTGCTCGGAACGGCGTCGTGTGCGTCGGTTGACGGTTGCCGAGCGAGAGACCGTTGGCGGCCGCCCGACACTTCGCGGTCGCGAACGACACGGCGGGCCGAGCGGTGTTGCCAACGCAGGGAGCGCGACCGACATCGGGAGGGAGTATGTGGTGAAGGCACTGGTTCGCCACATCACCATAAACTATGACAAGTGTAAAGTAATATATTTTCTAGATCATGCAATCTTGCTGATTACACTTATTTCTATAATGATTTACCCTTAAATCGGGTCTCCCAGGTAAAGAATCTGGGTATAATATATACTTTTTCACTTTCTTTTAGACGTCATATTAATTATATCACTTGTAAGGCCTTCCGACTACTTTGGTTCCTACGTCACCACACTAATAATTATACCTAAACATCCTGTTTAATAACTCTTTATTTCGCTCTTAAATTCTTGACTATGGCTCGATCATTTGGAATCCTTATTTCCAAATTGAAATACAATTAGTTGTATGAGCGCAGAACCGCTTCCTTAGTTATGCTGACTTCCTCCTGAAAATTGATCATCCCCAATTTTTTTATCTACCAGTTATGAATGCGCTAAATCGTTGTTCTCTCGAGGACATCTAAGGGCTGACCACAATTTTTTAATAAAATTAATTCAGGGTAATATCGATGCACCAAATTCCCTTGAGCATATAAGCCATAGAGTTCCAGCCGTCTATACTAGATCCCATGACACCTTTCTTATCACAACTTTCCGTTCTAACTTTGGGAGTTTGTAATTTGCACCAAATTAAAAATATGTAATTTGCACCACTAAAGGCAGTCGAAAGTAGTGTTTGTAATTTGCACCAAAATAACGGTATGTAATTTGCACCACCCTCAGGTAGTAAGAAATATAAATTGTAATTTGCACCAAAATTAAAATTCATTATTTTTTCGATAGTATCATTCGTATCAATAGTGTTATTACTCGATATTCTCGTTGACGCGACGTCAAGACTAGATGAACACGAATGACAATAATAATTTTTCGGGATTTTTCACCTTATCTGATAATATTTTGACGTCTTACGTCCAATTGTAGGTCGTAATCGCGTTATATCGCGTTATATATATATTTATATAATGTATATCAGTTTATTATTTTGATCAAATACCTACTAAGCTACCTATACGTTTAGTATTGCTGTTTCGTCGTAATACGTAATTTAACGTAACATTTTTTTATTGCAATATTTAATTTTTTTCTTGAAATATGGAAGTTAAGTTAATTAAAAGTAATCGCGGGGAAGATATTTTAGAATACGAAACCATACTTTTTATTTTGCATATAAAACAAAAACTACAAATATAATTCGTTGGCTTTGTACACAGAGAAAATGTTCAGCAAAATTGTTTACTACAGGTGAAAATTTGACCAGCTATTTTATAGATAAAAACTAAGCTTAAGTTATATTAGGATATAGAAACTAAGTTGGTACTATCGACCAAATTTTTTTGTATACTATCGAAAAAATAATCGATTTTAATTTTGGTGCAAATTACAATTCCTATTTCTTACTACCTGAGGGTGGTGCAAATTACTTACCCTTATTTTGGTGCAAATTACAAACGCATTTAAAAAAAATGGTGCAAATTACACATGTTTTATATATTTTGGGTCAATTTTGGTGCAAATTGACTACAGCCCTAACTTTTTATCGAATGATCTGTTTGTTAGAACAATGCTTAGCTTAAATGATAATAATGTTGATATATGGCCATACATTTACTTATTTTTAATTGCATTAACAATTTTTTGTCTATAACACTTATGTCAATCTAATGTTATAAAAATTACCTTTATATGTAAAAGCTGTTGGGCATTTGTGTGAATAATTAAAAAAATATATATAATTTAAATCTTAAAAAATATTAGTACAAATAAAATTTAATAAAATTGAATATTAATATGAGTATGTATTTATTAAATCTTAGAAAATAGGTACGAGAATGTCATTATAGCATATAATTTAAGTAAGAACATTATTATAGTTTAAATGAACCTACTTAACATTAATTGGTTAAATTAAATTAATTATGCTTTACTAAATAAACATCAATTTAGATAAAACTTCTACAAATTTCAATATAGAAACAAAGCCAGTTTTTAATTTTCACATGACAGCAAAAAACATTTTTTACAATCGACTGAGTTATCAATTGTTGCTAGGGAGACTTAAACAAAAATTATAATTTACACTAAGTCTTTTTGTTTTATGTTGTAGAATTACACATTCATGATGAGGAAAGCAAACAAATAATTATGAGTAAGTTAATTATATTGCAGTATGTAGACTGTGATGATAAGGGAAATCTAAAATCATCTAACTTAAATCATTATTTTGTAACATATTTTGTTTATGTTGTTACAGAACAAATAAATTCATGGGAAGGTAGATTAATTTGACCTAATTTTTAAAGAGTAAAAATTGAAAAATGTATAAAATAAAAATTCGTAACATAAAAATAATAGGCAGATATTTTTAGCTATATAGAAATACTATCCATGATTTTTCTCTAGTTGTGTTGCTCTGTTCATAACAAATACATATTTTAAATAATGCAATGTATTTTCGTTCAACCAATGTTAAAATATATTATAATTCAAATTATTAAAAAGTTGAACAATATTTTTTGTTATAGAGCCGAAACAAGACTACTTCAATAAACTGTTAGAAGAATTAAAATTTCAGAATGACTACGGTTCGTATAATTGTGCAAATTAATAATGAATAATACTATTTATTTATTTTCAGTTAATTAGAAAAATAATGATAAATTATTACATTCTTAATTTTTATTTGTTTCTATTTTCAGTGCATAATAGTTGCCTCACACACTATACCAATTTCCTCCCATTGTATCGTAAATACAAAGATAACGGCGCATACTAGTTGTCTCCCAAAATATACGAATTGCCTCCCTTCCTTATCATAAATGAAAATGTTAATTTATACTAGTGGCCTCAAATTACCAAGTACTTCATAATTATATACGAGTTGCCTTTCAAGAATTTTCACACTAGTTGCCTCCCGTATAGAGCTAAGTAGTGGTTCATAAACTGGACTAAACAGTTCTATATAAATAGATGAATTTATAAAATCAACTTAATATATGATATAATATTATGTATCAAATAATAAACTCTTTTAAGTTCACCTGTTTATCTATTCAATTTTATGTTGTTATTTTTCCTTTTGGGTATACCTGGTAAAGGACTCCAGTCCGTTAAACTAAGCTAAATAATGTTTATTCAATGTTGCTTTTAAATAAATAAATATAAATATCAGACTTCGTACTGGTATATGTATAAAAATGTTTGTAAATAATATCCATCTCGTCTAAAACATTATGAACTTCATTTCTCTATTTATTTAAGTTCGCCAAATTTGAACTACTGGCTCGATGTAAATTTTTTTTATATACAATACATTGGTATTTGTAAAATAAAATCTATTTTATGCTGTCTTTATTCTGCATGTAATAACTTTGTACTTGCACGTGATTAACATGTTTTATAATTTTAAATTACTTATTAATCCTGAGAATATTAAATAATCGACAAAAATATTTGGTGAAATATTAAAATGTTCCATCTCCTTCTTCTTCTTCTTTCAGCTCAAGGGGTCGTAGAGGTACATAGCTGCAAAACAAACTTATCTCCATCTATCTCTATCTCTATCAAGAGCTTATTCACAATGGTCGTTTTTCCTTAGTGGAATAGTTGTATTAGTTCTTT